GGCGTTGTGCGACAACCGGTTCTGAAGCGCGGACCGCCGGCTTGTGATGCGCAGTACTTCACTGCGCAGTTAAACCGCCGGTTTAGTCATAACACCACGATTAAATAAAACATACGTTGCGGTCTGGGACTTCGCCGAGCAGTTACTACTCAGCCGTTTTTTAAAGTCCCGGTTGCTAGGCAACCTGAAATCGCATTGCCATCACCGCGAACCACAAACAATCGAAATTCAATTAAATAAGATCCGGGAACTGAGTTGCTACGGGTGCAGGCAAGTCCCCACACATTTTAACCTTGACACTGGATGGAGATGAGTTGCTCTGGTTGCCTCAACCCCGGTACACATTGGATAGGAGGCCGGGTAGACCCCACAGCAGCTCTGAACACTGTTCTGCCGAGTATCGAACACCGATTCTGAGATAGTCCATTCGGAAGCCCAGACACTATAATAACCGAGTTCGCCTCTCGAGATATCTCAAGTTGCTTCACGCTACCTCCTGACACAAGCGTTCTCAGTGCTTCTGCAAGCCCGGACAAACATCTGCACTCTCGCACACAGGGGAACCCCAGGCAATGGAATCAGAATAATAAACACGGAAAGCGCACGTTACCTGGACAGGGGTGACCAAACGATTCAGTGACGGGACAGTAGGCCTTAACGATTTCTTGTGAGGTGAGTCGCCAGACTAAATGGCGCTGAATGATGAGCCGGAAGTTGTAGTGGACTAATCTAGCTCATATCCGGTTTTAGCACAAATGTCGATAAATGTGCAATGCGGGGTTGCACCCGCGAACCTGCTTAACGGATTGCGGTTCAGTTGAACAGTGGAGGGGGGAACTACATTTCCGGTAAATAACCGCTCCAGCTGATGGACGTGCGGTGACCACAAACATTACTGTATTACAGGGTGTGACGCCGTACCAACATTTCGGACGAACCTGATGTGTTCGTCTTGAGAATGTTGGTAGCCATCTACCAGTCACCAGTCCTGAAGAGGCAGGCAGCAGATTCCTCCGAAACACTGTTAACTATGAACCACACTACGTTTCCTCAGGGTCACCCTGAAGGTGGAGGAGGCAAATTGCTCCGGAGCAATGGTAACTATCAGAACACAACACTCTTCATAGTCTCAAATCCCACAAGAAGAAGGCAGCAGGTTATCCGAAACGTCGGTACACACTGAGTTCCATCTCACAAGACACTCACCTAGCAGTGAAGTTCTCGCCCGCCTCAGCAGCTGGACACAACCAAGAATGCGAGTCAGTGTGGGTGCTAGCCACCTCACACAGCGCAGTATTAACAGTGGGCTGACTCGAACCGTTAACTGACAGACTGACTCACTAATTAACTGACCTTCTTGACAAGCTACAGTTACTTAACTCCCCTTAGGCATACAGCGCACACTCTCGCACCCTATTTCTTTAAGATCCATTTTAATATTATCCTTCCATCTACACATAGGTAGTGAGCAAGTTGGTGGAGAAGCATTCTACTTGTATATGGGAGATGAGCGGTTCGATACTCGGCCTGTTCACCGACTACCCTCACCTTACGTGATTTTACTCTAAACCCCTTCAGCCAAATGCTGGGATAATACTTCGCACTAGGCCACGACCGCTTCCATCCAATTCGTTATTCACCATCATACAATAAACCGACGCCGTGTATTCTGAGTTACTGACGGCGTCCTCACATGACCCGCAAATAAAGACTACGGTTTTGTGCATAGCAAACCCTCGTTAATGCGGACCTAAAGAAGAACAGCTGCGTCTCACAGCTGAGTGCAGCCCGAGGGACTGAAACCCAAGATTGGCTTAAGCTGGATGAAGGAGACCCTGGATTTCAGCTTCTGACAAAGGAAGAAATCGCAGCAGTGATATTTAATTTATTTTCATCAGCACTATCTATAATATCAAAATTTTTCATTTATTTGTTTTCTATAATTTTTATTTGTCTTTTAGGGCTATGTTTTGCATCATTAAGCTGCTTACTGTGTTCCAATCCTGCGTGTGTTTGTGTTGTGCGTGCAAACGCGGCGTAACTAATTATGGTGGGCCGAATCCCCCCCCCCATCAGGCAGCTGGCATTCTTCATCATTCTGAAACAAATACTTACTTCTTGCTGCCCGTCCTTCAGCGTCTATATATAGAGACCAATTTGCAGCTGTTACACAACCCAGCGGCCTCTGTGTGAACTCTTGTATTAGTACAATCCAAGAAGTGGAAACAAAGCGTGATTTCATACGCTACTAATGTCAGGGGGTTATCAACCATTGGTCCGCAGTCCCTGACGGCTGGAAACTCGGTGAACTACTTGACGACAGCCCAGCGACACACAAAAGCAGGCCAAAGTAAAAGACCAATCATATAACTTAAACATACTAAGTAACCAACTCTTTCAAGCATTTTGGTTACCATATGTACCACTTACTTTAGCAACAAAACCCTCTGCATCTGAGGTTATCACAGCAGTCACCCCGTGTAGTCGGTAGTTCACCGACGTTTCAAAGGAACGACTGCGTCATCGTAATTCCTTGCTCGACTTTCTACTGAATGTTGAAGATGAAGGAATACGTTCCTCCGAAACGTCGGCGAGCTTTAACTACGCTATACGACGTCACATCCAAGATATGGCACATTCACTGTGCATTCTGCCCGCAGAGTCTGTGTATTCGTGTAGTTCTCTAGAATGTGATTGTAGAGCCTGAGGAAAACCATGAAGGACCTCAGATTAGCCGATGTTCAGGCCGAGATTAGAACCTAGCACCTCTCGCTTATAAATCAAGAGAGCTACAGTTCAAACTAACACATTCGGCGAACAGGTTATTCTTTGTACTGGAGACTCATTGTGTTTTCTGTGAAGAGGAAGTGCATTCTATACGTTATTTAAATAATTATACTTAAAAAGCTTAAGTGTCTTAGTAACCGGGACTGGTAATTAGTGCTAACCGTCGGCTCATTGTGATCTGGGCTTTTCCACGGTCACATTCATAGAGTGGAGAGCGCTCGAGCCCCTCGCGTTATATTTAAGACACTGCTCAATGGGGCGAAGTCGTTCAGAAAAGGCATAGCCGTCAGCACTCTGCTGTTCACTGAACCCAGAGCGACTCAATGGCGCAGACTCTACGCACGGGCACTTTATATTGGGACGGACAACGAGGGTTGTGACCACCGAGCCACTGAGCGTTCATACACAGTCACCCATAAAATACCCGATGAAACGGTGGCTTTTTATTTGGGAAGCACCCGGTTCAAACATTGCACCTCATGATCTCGGGGCTCGGTGACAGGGACTGCAGTCCACTTCAGACTAAAACACAATACTGTACCGAGTTAAGGGCTGAGTTGCTGTATGTAGAGACCGAGCAGGTTAGTGCAGTGGTACTGCTGCGAATTTCACACGACTTTTCAGTTTCTGTTGTGGTGATGTCACTTCGCCCCCATTTGTATCGGGGGCAGTGACACACCGGTTACGTGACCAACATGCGCACGAGGAAGGGAAACAAAACAGTGGAGACAGGTGACAGTCACTTGCCCGCACCTGTCAACAGGACAAAGAAACTGGAGTAGTGAATGAAGCACGTATTTTCGCGCCTTCGCTTGTTTCCAATTTCGTTCTATCGCGCATTTAAATCCTGCAGCGACAGAGACAGAGAGAAACTACTTTTGCTGGTCTACTGCTTTGTTGATTCTGCTCTTGGATCTTAGCATCGTGGATGTGGGCAGCGTAACAGACGTTTCGGACGTGAACATTGCTTCCATCTTCAGGGTGAAGTGAGCAGGGTGACTAAGCGTTTATGTATATATACAGGTTTTGGTCTAACAGAGAGGCGAACCGGGTGCCATCTTCAATACTTCGTCTAAAACACTGGCAACTATCTACCAAACAACACGAGGCTGTAATCTTCACAGGCGCAAATATTCTGTGCAACTATTAGAAACGAAATTTGCTTCGTTCCGGGCAGTTGTAGCGCCGTGTTCCGCAGGCAACTTCTCCGACAGGTATGTTAAGCGGGTCAGTCTGGACGGTAGGCGCTGTGTGATGGAGCGTGCCCGTCCACAAGGCAGACCACACTTCACTGATTACTTAAGGAACACAAAAACCTCTTTCCTTAAGATTAATTTTCACATGACTCTCCCTACTAGGGCTTCCTGTTAACGCTTTCTAACAGATCTCCCCACCAAATTTCGGTATGTCATGTTCTGTGAGCCGTAACCTCCAACATAACAAGTTATTTCCGACTCCGTATAGTCTGCTTTATTTCACGATGCTGTCAGTAGCTGGACTACATAACGACCACGGGTAGGATGACAGAGTCATTAGGAAGGAGCGTTACCTCTATCACGATGTGTTCTGGCCGAGTTTAGAACCCAGCACCTCCACAATACGAGTCCAGAGCGTTGCCGTGTGCCAACCCGCTCAGTTAGGCGTCATTGTGTTACTTAGGTGGAGGGAATTTGAGCGTAACAGAAATGGAGAAAATTACATACCCAGGAGATTAAAGTCTGTAGCGCGTATCTTATACTGTTATGGTGATTAAGTCAAGGAGAAAAGTGAGATGGGGTAGTCATGTAGCAGGTATTCGAAAAAACTCATGTAAAACGTCTTGGTAAAATAATGAAAATAATCAGAATATTTAGACGTACTTCCAGAGTACTTCTCCTTCTTGAGAAGATGACAGTCGCTCACAAATTCCCAGCCGCCTATGAAACCTGAAGGTTCACTATCGTGACCACAACAGCTAGTCACTCCTCCCCGTACTGAGGCACATGAATTCAGTTCACAGCCTTACATACTTCAACATCCTTTTTAATATTATCTTCCCTTCTGCACCTGAAATCTTAACACTCACTGTCTAAACACAGGCAGAATCATATGGACTGTCGTTTGGGCCGGGAGGCTGCCAGTTGGTTGGTTGGCCACCCCTGGCATGCGGCCAGCGCCACCTCTGCGCGGGTACGTATAGCCACTCGCTTGTCTCCACGGAGCTCAGTTAACCTCCAGCGTCCAGCGGAGACTCACAAACACATGGCTAGCCGGATCTGATCGCCACAATGACGAGCAGCATGAAGCAGACCGTAATCAAGTAAGTAACCTGTGCATCTTGTCCAGCGATTATTTACCTACACAGCAAAAACCGACTGGTCTCTGTTTCCTGTGAGGTAAGGCTGAACTTACAAATAGCGGTATGTGTAGCCTTCGGGTTTGAAATAGTTCTCGCCAGAAAACTCCGAAGTTTGTATCCATTTATATCTCCTAAATACGAGTAAATTAGCTTACTGAAAGTATATTTAAAACAATTAACACAACTGCGCACTGCCGTGTGCAGGAAAAACTAATTAAGAACACAATGGTAGTAAGCAGAATAAGGAAGAACGTTCATATAACTCCTGGCCCCTTCATCAACAAATATGTTCTTTCAAATTTAATTCTTTTAAAATATTATTTATTACATAGTTTCAGATATCTGTGGAAAGGGACTGGTCCCCAAAACCACCTATTCTGTATTTCTAAATTATACATAAATTAATAGTATTATTAGTAATCAAAATGAAGGAATTAATCTACTTAACGGCCTAATTAAATATTACAGTAAACACTAAAACAAATATTTGAAATTAATCAAACTGGAAAATTCAAAGTCGTATGTAGCGCGTACTGTTGTGGGGTTTCGTGAAGTTCGGACACCAGGGTGGCCGCTCACAATGTTGTCGTTTCTTAGGATTAGCGATAGGTAATTGTTTCTTCAAACCGAGGTGGGTCGTGACAGTCGAGCGGCCGAGTGATACTGTTTGCTGTACAAACGCCAAGTGTTTGCTGAGCAATGTTTCGGAATTAAGTTGTGTAGGTGACCGATACATTATCATGACAGGGATATCGTGAAACTGGACCCTATTTTATGGACAACTGAGGTGTTCCATGTCTGTAGTGCAGTGGCTTTAATTCTTTGAAGCACAATGGTAACTATATGCACCACCTACTTTAACAGCGAATAAATCTTAGCTTTGTCCACAGAGAGTATACTTATGTGCTTAGTATGACACAAAAAATAGCAATTATTCCTCTAAGAAGCGCCTGTGTTTCTGCGCGGTAGAAAATTACTTTTTTACATTTTACTAAGTGAACTTCTAGAAAAATGATGAGATGGTTCCAAAATTCCATTACGTACTTCAAGCTTCGTACAAACGTTAACATTACGCAGCCACCCGACGTCAAAAAAATCCGAACCTTAATGCATGCAGCTAAGCCCCCGTTCAACTTCTCTCGTATGCTCTTAACAAACTTCACTTCACAACGCTTTACCCTATCTACCACAACGACGAGGAGGCGATGCTGCGAACTTTCAAGGCAGGAATATTCTTTTTTTTTTCCTTGGCACTAGAGCCCCAGTGGGCCTAGGCCTTCCTCCATGAACTTCTCCGTTCACTTCGGTTTTTCTAGATCTTACACATTCGGTAGGACTCCTTGGGCGGGTGATCAGCTCGTCGCAAGGCCTCTACCTCTACACAAACACAGAAGAACGCATACATACAAACTAAACATCCATGCCCTGAGTGGGATTCGAACCCTAGATCCCGGTTTCCAAGCGAGCGAAGACAGTACATGCCTTAGACCGCTTGGCTACCGTGACCGGCTAGGAATATTGTTATCCCCTCAAAATGTGGTGTCCCTGGCTATTCCTCCCACTCTCTGCTGCCGGTCTCACCCTTCAGGCTTCAAGCAGTTCATATTCTGGCGACAGCGGCACGCGCAACATTTTAGGTGTTATCCACACGAAAGACCGCCTCTGTTGTCTAGTGGTCAGAGTTCCCGGGTTCGATTCCCGGCGCTACCAGATTTTCTGAGAAGTACTGGGTCTGGAACGGGGTCCACTCGGGTCCGGTCTAGAAAACCGAGATTAACGGCCGTGGGGATCCGTTGCGCTGATCATGTGACACCCTCTATCCGCTAAGCTTGGCACTAACTTCGCCGACAAGAGGCGGTCGCTCGGTCTGTATAGTTCGCTTGCAGACTACAGGCCATGGAGTTTGTTTTATCCTCAAGAAAACACATTCGCAGTATATACGTATATATTTAACTTAAATTTGGAGTACGCTGGGGGCACTTGATGGAAAGGTAAATACTGTCATGTAGTATGGAGCGTGGTTATAGCGGAGGTTTGGATTGGTAACTGGATTTACTGGCCACTCACAGGTCGTAACTATAAATAACTATAACATCATCGCTGATTTCCACACATTACAAATCACTACAGCACACGCTCTCTTCCAGCTTGCAGTGTCTTCACTAGACGTTTCCTGGTAATGGCTCCTAACAATGTTTACTCCTTTAATTCCGGGCTCAAGTCCTCTCTGAACGGCGGCCCCCTTTCAACCAAAATATTCTTGCTTCAGACTCCCGTACAGAACTGACTTGGTTGCCCCAATTGTTTTCCCTATAACACGTTTGGACGGACAGTAGGAAAAAAACAGTTTCCAACAGTACCCCTATTGTTGCGTGTCGATTCGTTGCTGTGGAGACGTGTTTATTTCCGACTGTTACCTAGCAACGGCTCTGCGTGCCACAGTAAGTAACTGAAAGTCACATGACAGCCCAGCGAAGGTGAAAAGCGGAGGTCTAGCTACTTCATTCGGAAGAGTGGTAGGCCATGAAGGCAGTGATTGCCTTCACAAATAGATCGGTTTCACCCAGGGGAAAGAGCCCACTGCACCCACTGGGTACGAGGCTGTGTGGGCCTCAGATTCAGTCTAGACACTGTGCAGACCTGGGAACCGAACCCCTACTCCTCCGTTTCCTAGTCGCTATACCGACTGAGCTATTCCAAATATGCTGATACTCACTTACTGTACACTGCAACAACCAGCACAAGGGCCAGTTTATGCCCTACCTACACGGCGCCACATCCCGGAAAGCCCACCAACGCGAGAACCTCAGATGTAGCCTGACGAGGTGATCCGTACAAAGCACTGTTGGAGATATCAGCAGTAAACGGATTTAGACGAAGTTTGGCATATTTGTTTTCTGACACTCGTGTAATGCGAGTGCTTTCGTAGCACGTAACCCTGTCGAACTGGCGAGTCACATGACGTCACGGAACACTGGAGGCAGGGACGCTAATTGTTAGAAAACGTGAAATGCACTGGCACCGTTATAAACTGAAGGGCTAAGATGTTCTCCGCTCTGGAGCACACACAGTACCATGACACGGTCCGTGCTTCACGGGCCTTTGCAAGCCTTTATTATTAGGTGTGAATTCAATATTGCAAAGCTAATGAACGCTGCACGGCATCCTGCAAGTCATCACCAGTTGAAGGTGAGTATCCACCGGCCATAAGGCTGCTCGGACCACAGGGCTGGTCTGGGTGCTGCCGGAAATCGAGCCCTGATTCCTCGGACGTACAGCCCGTGCCTATACGGACTGAGCTATCCTGGCTAAGGGTTAAATTGGACGGATACAAAGAAATATTGAACCGAATCGATAACTTTCAGAGTAAATCCTATAATACCAAATTTAATCGAAATCTTTTAAGTAGTAAAGATTTGAAGCATGAGGGCAGAAATGTAATTTTTGGATATTCGTTCACTTTAAGCACTGTCTGTAAAGAACACTAAACAAGTTAGGAAATGTAAGAGTAGTGTAGAGCTCTTACGTTTGATTGTCTCGTAAACAGCGAGATTTATGAAGAGGTGTACTGAACATAACATGCATGTTACAATTGTATCTACAGCTTTTGTTCGAAACACTTTTCGCTCCGATAAATATTTGTCGAGTTAAGTTGGAGAGGCGTATAGTAACTTCACGTGGATCTTCACGTAAAGTGTCCGTCACTGTCGTCCGAATTTACCCAAAACTGGAGCGTGTCGATAAATATTAGTGAACTTCTCCAACGTCAATTGTAAATAAAATGCTCATCATTAGTTCAGTAATTTTTACAGGCGGATAGACCGACCGTACATGGGGAGCCAATTTGTTGAGATCGCGTCAGAAAACCGAACCAACAGTTTGCGCGTGACCCTGGGTGCTCTCATGAGAAGCCAAAATCCAATGACAATGTCTGCCACGAGAAAGCTTCGCGCTGCAGGAACTGCTTTGCCGGAAACAACCGCAAGATATTCTATGTGACTAAATGGGGGCCGGGTCGACATTTCACGTGCAGGGACGAACCCAAGACCTTGAAATGCAACTCGGGACGCTTAATGAACGAAGACAGCAGTTCCGGCAAGTCATCTTCCTCTCCGCCCCCCCCCCGCCCGCTCCGGTTGGGAATGTGAGAAAATACACAGACGTAAGAGCGGCCAAGCGACGAGGAGCATCGCAACGTTCACGTAATTTGCTTGTAAACCGTGTCTGAGACAGCTCTGAGGCTGCATCATAAGCAGAAGTGGCAGGGGCCGTTACTGCATTATATTTTGAACATATGTGCATGCCGTGGATCCCGTTGAACTCACGGGACTTCTCATCCACAAGGTATGCCGTAACCTCACACAACCGCACGAAGCCTGCTGCCTTCTGGGACGTGACACTTTGTAGTCCGGCAAACAGTAACAAGAAGGAAAATTCTCGGAGGAACCTCCTGCTCCCATCTTCAGGGCTGAATAGTAAACGCGTGACACATAAGTACGGATATATAAAATGGGGTGAGACCTGTGTCCTGAGTGGACATTTTCATGATCGACTTATTATTCTACCCTGAAGATTGAATAAACACGTTCATCCGAAACGTCACTATTTAGCAGATTACACGGCGTCGCATTCCAGAAGCTGATAACCTAAAATTTAACGTTATCAGAATTATCAACTCAAAAAAGATCTCATGAGTAGAATATGTAGCACGCAATGAAGAGATGAGAAATATATACAGGATTTTATTCGGATAACCTGAAGGGACAATAGCACTTGGCAGCCCTAAGGATAGATGCTAAGATAACATTGAGATGATTTAAAGACAAAATGTACGAGGGTATGCAATGGGTTAGTCTCAATCAAGACAGTGCCCAGTGATGGGTTCTGGTCAACTCGATATTACTCTTCTGAGATATGACGCCATGCAGTCCAGTATGAGTTAGCTGCCGTTTCGGAGGAAC